AAAAACAGCATTTAACATAAAATTCTTGCAGCTTTCATCGAAAGGCAGAAGTCAATAGATGTGGAACTTATTGATTACCATTTTCTTACATAATTGTTGACCTTGTATACACAGCATGTAATACCTATGTGTTTGATTTACACTGTATAATAAGCTTATAAAATTGGAAAATGATTTTTGGAAAAGATGATGGAGAAATACAAGTTTTTATTCTGCAAATTTCTCAGAGTAATCAGCTAGAAAAGATAACTTGGCTGCCTTTTCTGTTCCTCTGCTTCAGCAGCCTTGTTTCCTTAAGCAGCTGAAAAGCTTCAGGGTTTATCTTCTCCCCAGCATAAAACCACTCAAGCAACCAGAAGTCCCAGGCTATTGCGAGTGGAATGATTTGGCAACACAAAGAGAAGTGCTGGTGAGGCACCCCTCAAAACCACATCCACAGCCCTGTATCCCAGGAGTGAAGAATACCTCACCTCTGTAGCTACCCCAGCACTACGTATTGTAACAACAGACCCGCCTATTGTGCTTTTTCCTCTGGATAAAATGAAAATCTGAAGTTAACATAAAGTTAGTAGATGTCTGGATTTTATGATCTTTGATCTATCTTCTCCTAGATTATGCTGGTTATCTATTTGCTGCACAGTGGGTACCACAATTTCAATGGTAATGTTTCTCCTGTCTGAAGCAAAGATAGGGAGAATCCCAAGAGTGGATTGTTTCATTTCAGAGCAGCTAGCTACACTGAGAAGAGCCATGTTTGAGCACACTCTCAATGCTCATCCAAGATTTCCCTGTCTTACTCCTTCCCTAAACTGTTGCTTGCAGGAGATACTTCTGTCCAGAGACAGAAAGGAGGAAAAAAATAAAATAAAGACTGTTAAAGACTCAAAGTCATGCTAAACTTGTGTCTCTAGACCAGTATTCATCACAAACTGTCATGTGCTCTGTAGCACTAACTAATGTGACTAACACATCACATGCTTCATTCCCCACCCTGGCTTTGGGGGGAGAAGCCTGTGCATGGACATTCTGTATTCTACTTTTTCCTTTAATAATTCATGCATGGGTCAACAAATTTTGCTAGAAGGCGCCAGGCCAGAGCCAAGTACTTTGTGCTGGAAGACACACTTTTGGGTAAGTTCTTGAGAAAGCTCTGTTGCAAGAATCTCCATCTGGTTAAACTTTTAAAAATTCACCCCCATACCAAGTTTTATAACATAAAAAAAACCAAAAAACAAAAGAAGATAGAGAGGAAATTTCTACTCCCACTAGCTTATGTTTTCTCCTTTTGCTCTTTGCTGCAACAGGGTTTCTGGAATAGACTTGTCTGAACTCCTGAGCTATTTGGAAAACATGGGGCTGGAAAAAATAGCCCAAGGAGAAGGACTATCTACGACTGCCTCTCCTCCCCCCTCATCTTCTGCATGTACCGACCCTCAAGGTTCAATGGTCCTGATATGGAAAATGAAACACCTTAGGTAATGATAAAACATCCAGTGTAAGACAAGTGCTGAGTATTTACTCACTGGCAGTGCAGCATTGCAGCAGAGAGTCTGCCAAAGAGGGATCAGTGCCTTCCTTACACCCCCAGGATTCATTGTCTCTTAGCCTGGGAACCTGTCTCCGTTCCCAAACAGGGATATTTTTTTTGGCAGCAAGACGGAACAAAAGGCACAAAGAGAACTAAGAAAACCCTTTCAGTGAAGCTGTAGTCTTTTCTTTTTCCTGTTCCCCTGAGGACAGAAAAACTCCTAAGGATCACTCGTAACATACCCAATCCTGTTACCTGCCTGGAAGGTGCTCAGTGCCCACAGGGACCTACAGGAATCAGTGTCTGTGCAGATTCCAGCACAGCTTTCAGCCTCAACACATTGATCCTCTACCTTTAGCACCAAAAATACCACAGCATTTTGAAAATGAAATCACTGTTATATTTGAGTGGGTGTGTTATTTCGAGACAGCACTAATGTGATTATAAAATCAGTTGTGTCAGCTTATTGGCTCAGCTACAGACACTGATCTGCTCGAGCGTCTGTTCCTCTACCCGGCTGTTCGCGTTAGGGTGCTTTGTCCCCCCTCAGCTCCCCGTGGAAATAGAGACCATTTGATTCCCACTGCTGCACCAAAAAGAAAGAAACCTCTTCTTCTGGCAGTTGCCCACCTCATCTCTATGAAACTTGGCATTTCCAGAGCACCTCTTGTGCCAAACATGAGCACAACATCCCCCAGCCCAATTAAGGCTACAGCCCATATATACATATATATGCACAGGCTGGGCACACTGCTTCCAAATGACAGCAGCCAAGAGAAAAGGTCAAGTGGCAGCAGGGTCCAAACCTCCCAGCCTTACCTTTCAGACTTTTTACTTGAACTCCCTCTAAACGTTTCCTCTCACCTATTACTGAATCCTGGGAGCAAGTGCTTGTTTTTCCCTGCTGCTCTGTGGGTGTCTGACAGACTCAGTGGCTTGTGCTGCCAGGCATGGTTTAATGCTGTCAATGGCAGGTGACTCACTGGTATCAGAAGTGTCAGTCCTGGCAGGTTTGACTCAGCCCTTCATCTTTTGGCAACAAATTGAAATAAAGTAGTTTCCATTGTATGAGGCAGCTTTTCAGGCACAGCCATACTAGTGTAACTTTATGTGCTTTATGTGTAGAGGATCTGTAAAGATTCTATAGTCTGCATGCTCCACTGGCTTCCTGGTTTTGCACATTTCTATACACTGGATCATTCTGATGTCTCTGTGCAACACAAAGAAAGTTGAAGTTCATTGCAACCACAGTCATCCCAAGGCCAGGTAAATGCTATGTTACCCTTACTGAATATGATGACTCTGAAATCCTGCAATTAAAAACCTGACAAAGAACAGCTTTGCTGCTTATATAGCAAAAATATTTCCATTACTAGTGAAAGGAAAAGGCATCTGAGTAAGATATTACCTACCCATCTTTACCTCAAAGTATGCAATGCCCTCAGGCCAAATTCCAAACTTTCCATGTGTAAACTGCATCCAGCTGTGTGCTGCATGGAGTATATAAACATGAGGTTTGAATCCCACACGAGCTGTGTTTGACCACAGCACTGAATTTACAAGCTACAGAAACTTGACAGGCACTTTATGCAATAGTCAAGATGTTTGTTATGGAGATGAGTATCTCCTGATTACTGCAGAATGAGGTGTCATTTCTCATCATTATGTTATTTGGCTCAACACTGTTGCACCTTCCTCACAAACCCAACCCAATATCAATTAAAAACTTAGTCACTTCAGCCTTAAAACCCAAACAACATATCCCAAACTGTTTTAGTATTAGGTTTGCCAATAAATCGGGCAATTAAAGTGGTGATGGTGGTGAAAACAAGTGTGCTCACCCTGTCTTAGCATGTTTAGAAGAGCCTGAGCTCTGCTGTGGATCCTGGGGGCAGAGCCTGTGACTGGACACAGAAAACAAAAAGTGAGGTTCCTCTGTTTTGCTGTTCTGAACACTTTGTTCGCTCTCTATGACTGAGAGAACTTCTGCTACTCTTGAAGTTTAAGAGGTTTTGTCCTTTTAGTCTCGCTTCATAAACAGAATTATAGTTGTTATTTTTTTAAATGGACAAATATTTTAAAAACTGAAACTCATTAACTGCCTGAGTGATTCATGAATCTCTCAGATTATGTTTTAAAGTATTTTCTGATCTTCTAAATCTTGTGTCCAGTCAAACAAGAGGTTAACGCTCTCTCTCTAAACAGACACAAAGACTCTTCAGTGCCAAATCTCAGCTACAGCTTACACCAAATATTCACCCAGTGGCTGCCTTCCTGCTTTTTCCCAGGAGATTTCAGTCAGGAACACAGCTTTCTATTTGTGACAACTGGTTGAATATGTGGGATGGAAGCAAAGGAACCGAGTCCTGACATTTAACATGGTGTGCACACACAGTGAGCTGGTGTGGTCAGTGAAGATGCAGAGATAACGGAGCCAACCTGCACAAATCCCTTAGGCTGGGAAAAACCTTTAAGATCAAGTCCAACCACAAACATGTTCATTGTTTTAGTTTAAACAAACATTGTAAGAAGAGGTCCTTAAGACACATTTAAGCACATTAAAACCATGCACACATTATCAGACTCAAACCCACCCTACCTAAGCCTGTAGTGCCAGCACAAAGATCCACAGACCCTCCAGGGGTCTCAATCAGCTGGGAGACATCTCTGTCCCTCTGAGCTCATTGTTCAAGTGGCCTTACAGTCAATAGAGAAAACCAGCTACTCTTAGGGCACAATTAGTTTTATCCCAACTTCATTGCCCCACGCTTCTGTTTGGAATTTCAGATGGAGGCACTGAAAGTACATGAGAGGAAACCCACACCAGTATCCAGGAGGATGCACACAGCCCTTCTCTCCCTGCTTCCAGAGCCATGGGCTGAGGGAGGCACCTGCAAGTGCATTAACAGCTACCAAATCAGGGACAAGCAGAAATTCACAGCACATCTCTTTAGGACACCTTCCTGGATGTTACTGTGGTGCCTGGGCTGTGCTAATCTCAGACTTGGCCCTTGCTTATGGCAATCACACCATGGCTGTGCTGAGAGCCCTCCAGAGCCCCAAGTTCATTCTTCTGCCTGGGGAGGTGGGGATGATCCCCAGGCATGCTGCTGAAAGCTCCTACAGTCCCCCTCAAAAAAAACAATCTCGCAGCAGGAACCCTCAGACTTCACCTTTACTCCAAACCTCAGCACTGGAAAATGATGGGAAAGGAAACTTCAGTATGATTGTCATGGTAAATGAAGAGAACAGAAAAAAAGAAAAATCAAGATGTAATTTGGCAGTTTTCCATGTCAGTTTTCCCATTTCTCTCCCTCATGCACTTTCTACAGGAGCAATCTGTCCTTTCCCTAAACGCTGAACAATCACAGCACTAAACTAATCAATATTAATAGCGATGGGTTTGGGAGGAGGGAGGAGGGGAGAGGAGAGGAGGGATTACCCTGACCTTTTTCAACTCACACTGCCTCAGACAGCCACCAAGCAGCTGAAGAGAGAGCAGCCAGACGGTAATGCCATGTGGTTTTAGTAGCTTTTCATTTTTTAAAAAAAAATTTTCCTTGTGAATATTTACTCTGTTGTTTCAGTGCAGATAGCAATGAAATCTGATTTTCTGCAGGAAGGAAAAAATATAATTATATCAGCCATCTCCGGGCCAAGCCTTGCCTTGATGAGAAGCTCCACTGAAATAAGGGAAATAACGCCCAGGCTGGATTTTAACTTGAATTTCTTAATAAAAAGAAAATTGGATTAGGGAAGTTTTGACAGGTGAAATGCTAGTATGCTTTGTGGGTTTCTCTTTATTATAGGAGTGTAATCAAAGCCATTGAGCTGTGACTGGGATATGGAGCAAGAGCAAACAAAGGGCTGGGGGAACCAGTCCTCTATTGTTACGCTCAAGTGTCCACAGCAGCTATGGGGATGGATGGACTCAGTACAGAAGGCTCAGAATGAAAGATAAATCCTATTAATTAAAAGAAAATCATAATTGAAGCTCTTTGTTCCTATTGGATTTGAGGTTTATTGTAGATTTTCCACTTGGCAGCATTTCTTAAAATACAGGTTTATTTTTTTTCAGGGGGCATCATGGATTACTGGCAATTAATCATTGTCTCTTTATTGCTGATTATTCTTGTTGCCATGTGCAAAATATGATTTTTAGAAATTTCATCTGAGAAATCTAGAGAAAATTCTATTTATGCATTTCCTCTTTCGCTCCGAAAGAGCCAAGCCTCAGGGAAAGGTCCCAGATTGAGTGTTAGGTTTGTGGGGGTTTTTGAATAAACATTTTTATGGTATTTTCATATTTTTTCTCTTGAGGAGAAAATGCTTTGCAGATGGCTGATATCACAGCACTAGCTAATGAAGCCATGGGTGTGTTTTCCCTTTCTTTGTCAGGACCCATCATGTCCGACAAACCAGATTTTGCAGAAATTGAAACATTTGACAAGGCCAAGCTGAAGAAGACAGAAACCAGAGAGAAAAATCCACTGCCCACTAAAGAAAGTAAGTGCTTATGAGGCTATTTGAAGTACGAGTAGCAAGGGCATAATCCGTATTGCAGTTCATATGCAAAATGAATACTAATCACAGGATTACAGGCTCAAACTCATCCCTGACTTTAAGTGGGGATAATACTTAGACTCTATTCTGGGCTTCCAAGGATATCAGTAATTATAACCAGCAGTGCATTTTGTCTGAAAAACCCTTTCTGATGGGATTGCTCTTGCTTCTGCTAAAAGCAGGACCAGTGTTCCCACTGGGTGCTGGTAACAGGATCAATCCCTTTGTAATTACCTTGTTACCAGCCCCTCTGGAGGCACAGAGGAACCTCTGCCCATCCCTGGCAGGCCAAGGCAGCATCCCCAGAGGGTGCCCGGGCTCTGGGTTTAATGTTATCAGGCAGATGAGCTGCTGCCCCCCACTGGTACCTGCTGTCAGCCCTGGGTAGGAGACCTCCAGGCACCTTCTCTGCAAGCAAACCCAACATCATCTTCGTCTAACAGCCAATCTCCCTCAGAAAAGCACCCCTGAGCTTTTCTCCTGCAGGGTCTTCTCCCATACACACTGTGCACAGGCAGCCACATAAGGCTGGGATTCATGTTCAGCTTCAGATATGAAAAGAGCATTTGGAGCAAATTTTGTGAGCAGTTTCCTTCAGAAGAACATTGCTAATCGCTGTGGATGTGTGTGCTGATAGCCATGCACACACAATCCCTCAACATTAGATACCTGGTTTTTTTCCCATTTTATTGTCCTTGTCAATGCTAAAGCTGTAAATACAAGAGGAGCTTTGCACGCCGTGAACTGCTCCCTTCTTGCTATGCAGGTGTAGGAATGAGTTGTCATTTTCAGGGTGATCAAAACAACCAATTATTTAACCATTTAACCATTCTCTGGCTTGAAGTATGATCATAGAAATCTGTATCCTGCAGAACCATTATCATTAAATCACAGAATGGTTTGGGTTAGAAAGGACTTTAAAGATCATCTTGTTTCAACTCCCTGCCATGGGCAAGGACACCTCCCACTATCCCAGGTTGCTCCAAGCCCCATCCAACCTGACCTAGAACACTTCCAGGAATGGGGCAGCCCCAGCTTCTCTGGGAAACCTGTACCAGGGACCCAGCACCCTCACAGGGGAGAATTTCTTTCTCACATCTAATCTAACCCTGCCCTCTGTCAGTGTGAAGCCATTCCCTCTTTTTCTGTCACTCCAGGCCCTTGTCCAAAGTCCTCTCCAGCTCTTTTGTAGCTTCTTTAAGTGCTAGAAGGGGTTCTAAAATCTCCCCAGAGCCTTTTCTTCTTCAGGATGTACACCCCCAACACTCCCTCAGTCTGTCTCCATAGGGAGGCAAACTTTATTGTTCATAAACAGTAATATTTACTGATGGTGTTTTTGTTTCCTGTTTTTCTACCAGCTATCGAACAGGAAAAGCAAAGTGAAAGTACAGCCTGAGTATAAATTCAAGATGTGACTGCTGCTTCTTCAGTGGGGTTTTGGCTTCTGAGTTGGGTTGTTGTTTTATTTTGTCCCTCCCACACCATTTTTGTTGCCTGTTTATTTTAGAAACATTTGTTCATTTAATGTTCCCTGGAGAAGTTTATTTTGTGTTTTTGAAGAAGATACTATGTATTTGTATTCTTAAAATTATAATTCCAAGTTCTCTATCAACCCCATTACTTGGCAAAAAAAAAAAAAAAAAGGCAATTTGCATAGAAATTGCATTCCTAAACCTCACAATAAACAGGTTTCTTCTGACCAACTGTCTTTGAGCTTTGCAGAAATCGAGTTTACACTGCAACTCCTACTCCTTCCCCCTTTGCATTTCCACAGCAGCTCGGGGATTTGGGCAGGTTGGGAAGGATTACCCCAGATACTCACAGGTCCCTTGGCTGGAACACAGGCCCTCTCCATCATCTGTATCCTGCAGAATCCCAGAGCTCCAGAGGGCACCAATCCACAGGAACCCCCCTGACTGCTTTCACAGCCACGGCAGCCTGGAGAATTCACTCCCATCCCTTGAATAACCCAAGGGTGTTTCATGGCAACCCTGAGGGACAGGCTGTGTGTGCCGGGAGCTCCTGCTCTTTGAAACTCCCAGCCTGGCAGCAGGCATGAGTAAGAGGGGAAGCCACTGGCCTGCTTCGGTCTTGTCCAGGAGCAGGTTAAAGGTTCCGGAGACAAGTACTCACTTACAGATTCCATGCCAAATTCATGGCTGGGCTGAGGACATACTCAAATTAACATTCCAAATGAAGAAAAGGGCTGCAGAACCCTCTTCACAGCTTTTTTGTCTCTCTGACTTGCAAAGATGCAGTCAGCCTTGGGATAACTGCAGTACAAACACAGCCTTTGGCCCATTTCATAACAAGCAATACAAGAACAAGGGAAGGTGGAAGGAAGAAAAAATTAAGTATCACATTGATTTTTAGAGATGAGAGAAAGACCTTTAGCAGTACAGGGGTGTAAGACACAAACCTTCAAAGCAAGAAAGGACTCGCTACATCTTCATTACCAGTGGATCCTCACTGGTCTGCAGAGAACTTGGCAAAAATAGACTCTGGTACCAGCTCAGGGGACTCTCAATTACATGGTATCACATTATCTCTGGAATTAATTTGCAATCATATTAGAAAAACAAGTGCTTACTCTGGGCAGATAAGCTGCTGTCCCTGGAGCTTCAGTTTGATCCTACTTGTGCTGTGAAATTAAAGTAGCTCTGTGTACTTCATCAGGGATAGTCTGGGCTTGTACCCGCATAAGGTGAGGCAGAACGCAGCCTACAGGCTTCAGAAAGCAGAAGAGAATGGTTGGGGTGATGTCCAGAAAGCTCTTGTTTACTTAAGAGCTGTTTGACACTAGACATTGAATCTGAATAGTCAGAACTGCAATTAAAAGTAGCAGTGGATCCACAAGACTGTGACCTTTGGTGGCAACAGAAAAGAAAGTAACCAGAGGTGATCAGGAGACCAAAGGAAAACAGAGCAAGAGGACCATTGATTTCTGTCAGAGCTTTGTTAATGTGGTAGTGTCCAAAGGGCTGAGACTGCTGTTTCAATCCACATTCCTCAGTTCAACACTGCTGATGTTTTCTTTTCATGACCAAGGTTTTTTTTCACATTCTCATTTGAGGACCCCTTGGCACCTGACTCAAAGGGGTGTTTATTTTAAGGTCAGCTGGATTTATTAATACTGATTTTTATATAAAAGTTAAGGAATGTGAGAGGTTGAGCAACAAAGAAAAAAATGTTCTTTCTTTGTGACTCATGCTCTTCCCCCTCACCCCTGCACACTTCTTCAGGTGTGGTCAAGGAGCCTGTGACATTATTTAAATATCTGCTTTGATGATGGTTCCTTCATGGAGGAAGTATTTAGAGATAGCACTTAGAGCAACACCATCTATGGAAATCTGTATAGTTCTTACTGTTCAACAGATTCGTTCAACCCATTACTTTCCCCAGGATGGTTTTTAAGCTCTGTCCTGCACTCAGCAGTAAGGCCACAGATGAGACTTTCTCCTTGATTTTGTCCCATGTAATGATCTCCCTCCATCTCTGACAGTTGAGAGCATCTGCCAACTCAGCAAATACACTGTAAATCACCAAGAACTTCTTTGGCATCACTGAAACAGGGGCTGGTCTCTGCCCACAACTTTTCCCAAAAACCAAAGGTCTGGGCCATGTCCTCAGCCTGCACTTTTGGGACAGAAGGGAAGGGAGGTCTGACCAAAGCAAGAAAACAACAGAGATATTTATGTTTGCAAAGGATTGGCAGCACAGCTCTTGGCTTAGGGCTGCTCCTGGTGCTGCTGCAGGGCTCAGTGTCCCCCATGAAGCCTGCTCCCAATTTAGCTATTTGAATTTAAAGCCTGAAACAGTAAACCAAACATCTCAGTGCTTTTATGCACACAGCTCACCCCGCTAAATAGGCTGAGGAGAACTTTAGTCACATTCTCCACCCCTATATCTGACTACAAAGGCTACAAACACCTGCACACCTGGAAAAGGTCCTCGATGTTAAAGGCCAGATCTTCCCAGCTTTCCCCTGCCTGCCCCAGGTGGAGCATGGCTTTATGGCAGGGCTTGGGGAGTGCTTCTTTCACAATTAGCAGTTCAGAGAGGGTCAAGGTTAAAAACACAGCTGCAATACGCTGATTTGAGGAACATCCCTCTCTGCTGCTGGGGGAGACCATTTCAACTCAGGAACTGCATTGGGAGATTAAATTTTGTCAAGAGTAGGGACAGGTTTGGCTCCCTGTTATCTTAACCAAAGAGCATTACAGACCTTATCTGTGGGGCATGCTGGGGACACCAACCAGGAAACTGCTCATTACTTCAGGCTGAGACAGGGAATTTTCATCCTTCCAGGCATTACACAAGGAAATATTTGTTGCCACCATTGAGAGAGAGCTACAAGCAGAGCCAGGTTGAGCTAAGCCAAAGCTAACACCCTACCCACACCTAGGAAACACCTTCTGGGTGTTAACCTGACCTTCACTCCCTGGGAGAGCATCCTCCAGCTCCAAGGTTCCCCAACAGCCACCAACACCAGGAGCTGAGGCCTTTTCCCAGCCTCCATGGTGTTGGGCAGCTGAGCTGGAGACAAGCTCATCAGTAAGCAGAACCAGCTCCAGATGGGAAATGTAAATATTTCTGCCAATTAGCAGCAGCCCCTTGCTGTTATGTAAAGGAACATAAACGAGGTGTTACCTTGCAACTCCTCCAAAGGAAAAACGCCTTCCATGCTAATGCAGTTACGGCTAAAAAAAAAAAAAACTTTATATGCAGATGAACATTACATGCAGATCAACACCCACTTTCTTGGCATCACCATGAAGCCAGTTTTGCCCCCTGGATCCCGGGGATAGGGCCAGCCCTCTTGGGATCTTGGCCAAGTCCACCTGCCCCTGTGAGTCACCTCTAATTGCTGTGCACAGTCACAGCAAGCCCTGGCTGGGCAGAGGAGATCTGCATTCCTGTCATTGTTATACCAAAGTGAGTTGATTTAATAAATCTCATTAGGCAGGCATTTGATAGCAGTGAAAGCCAGGGAGAACAAGCCCCGAGCCTAGTTCTCCTAGGCAAAGGGCACATGTGTTCCACCTCAGCTGGGGACCAGCTAAAAGGCCCTGTGGGTCTTGCCAGCCCCAGCTCAGATACCACAGCTGAGTCTCAAAGCACATGTGGAGGTTTTTTCAAATATATTTGGGTGTTCTCTCTTATTTGGGTCATTAGCCCAGTGACTGGTGAGACATGCCACAGCTCTATGGTGATGAGGGCTATGCATTTTGGCCAGTGGCTTGGCCACCACAACAAAAACTGGGATGCCCATGCAAGGCCAAGGCTGGAGAAGTCTGGAAAACACCTTAGTGTGTTTGTTCTGCTGTAAGCTCTGGTCCTGATGCAGCAGAGACCTCTCCTGCTAAGAGAGGATCAGAGAAAGAAACAAGGGGGAGATGTGAGCAAATAAAGATCTGCAAAAGCTCAGTGGGATCAGGGGTCTGAACTGCACCACGTGGGAAGCAGGTCAGGAGCTGGGAGTGCAGCCAGGGAGGTGCCCACAGCAGCAGAAACTCAAGGCAGAAGAAGTCAGGGTGGTTCTCATGCCTCTGCCTGGCTTGCCCCTTGTTTTTCCAAAAACACAGGGTGAAAACAATAGTCTTTTGAAAAGCACCAACCTTCTGGTGCCAAGCTGGGGGAGCCTCCCACACTGTGCATGGGCAAACAAAGCCACTGTGTGCTCCTGGAGCCCTGGCATGGGCAGCCAGCCCTGGCCTCTCCACCTGTTCCCACCCAGTGAGTCTGTGAGTCCCCGGGGAGCTCTGGCTGTCCCAGCCTGGTCCAGAGCACCGTGGTGCGTCCTGGCAGCACAACCCGCTCAGGCTGGAACATGGGGCTGGCTGGGGATGAGCCAGGCTGTGTGGGAGCAGGTGTGTGCGTGTGCAGGGCTGCTTCTCCAGCTCCAACACAACGCCGCTCAAACTGACAGCAGGGTAAGCTCTGCTTCCATCTCCTGTGCCGGGAGACGCAGCTCCGTGTGCTCGTTGTCTTGTCAGGAGAGCTGGCTTGGGAAGGAACAGTTGCTGGTGATGGTTTGTGCACATCTTGTAAGCTGTGCTGACAACAGCTCTTGACAACTCCTACCATCAACTGCAAATCTTCCAGTGCTTCGTGTTTGCTTCAAGGCCCGGGTCCAAAATTCATTCAATCCACGGGGAATCAGGAAGAAAGGAAGGGGAGGGGGGAGCAGAAAGGGGTTTCTAGCTGCTCTGGTCAAAGGGACATGTGAAAATGAGGTCTCTTAAGGCTCCAGCAGCAGGCACTGAACAAAAAGAATGAGAATTTCCAAAATTAAAAAAAAAAAAATTCAGGAATTTTAAGCAGGTCTCATAAATTCAGTAGCCAACTCAGTATCAAAATTTTTGACTTGGCGAAGTTGCAACAACAAGGGATGAAAAAAATTGTGTGTGATTGCAAGTGGGTGTTTTCAAACAGCATCTTGTTTTGAAAATAATCCCTCTTGGTCTGCTTTGTTTTCTTGTGATGCTGGAAATAATTCCCCTCAGAGAGAAGAACTGGGGTTTTATTTTTCTGTCTAATCACAGGAGCTACCTCAGGTCATGCCTGACCACAGCTGGTCCCCCCCATCCTTGCTAGCACTGGGAGGAGTCACCACCACAAAGTGTTAAAGAAACATGTGTGCAGGTCCAAAATCACACATTTCATTTAGCAGTGAAGAAATCGGGCATGAGGAGCCTTGGCT